AGATCAACGATGTAGTCTGCGATGCCACGTGCCAATGGCCAGGGGGCTAGGTGCTTATGATGGATAGTGGTGGAGGGTTCGGATTGGATACGGGTTGATTGGATGGTCAGGCTTTCTTTAGCGCTCTTGGGGCTTGGCATAGGGAGAAAAGAGAAGAGTGACATTGGCACGCTCACCATGTTTGATTGCACTTGAACGGTAGAGTAGAGCAGCTCCTCGCCTGGGGCAAGCAGTCAGATTAAATAGGGCTTCGTGGAGGTCGCCGTGAAGACAGACTTCCAAAGAAAAGAAAAAAAGTACAAAGACCGACGATGTGACAGGCGGCTGGCTGAGGTTTTGGACCCGCTAGTAGGGTCGATCATTGGGGTGGCTCGGTGCAGAACAACATTGAATGTGACTGCAGACAAGACACCTCCGCTACTCGACAAGGTTCGTGATGGAGTAGTGCGAACAGAAGCCCGCAGGATCAGGGTCAACCAACAGCGGCATACGCATTGCTCCAAGAATTAGAGGATCACCAGCAGTCACGGAGTATCCGTACGGAGTACTGATCCCAGAATTCAAGGCATAGGTAGCCCACAATTCCCAGGATTAGGGGGTTGTCAGCAGAAACCAGCGGACTGATCCTGGGATGGGGTTCAATGAGATTGCTAGACGTAGCCGGCATTCCTCTGTCGCTTTGTACTTTTGTCAAGGCCCTTTGAGCTATGCTGCCCCAGCTGAAGGAAATGAGACATGTCTGGTGCTTTCCCAAGGTTCATTGATGCGGCTGAGAAGTAGCTCTAGAGAGAAATCTCGAGACATTTGATTTGATCCGAAGGTAAAGTTCTCTCAATTCAAACTCCGCGCTGCATCTGTCCGCTCTGTCAAACGGCCGGTCTTTGCGAAAGGCCGTCTTGGCCCCGCAATCGATCATATGTCGTGCTTCACGTCGTTTACTTCGTGACCGCTGCTCGAATTTGGTAGAGGTCTATTGGGCGGAAATTGACACGCGGCAGTGTTAATAAGCTGTCCCTCGCCACGTCCACCTTCTCTATAGGTACCATAGTCTTGGGAGACGTCGTTCCGCTTGCGTCGAATTGCACCGGAGCGCGAAGATGTCTCGTGGCGCCGCGGCCGCATTCATCGTGGTGTTCCCTTGTTGCTCACCGGCCGCACCTAACGGCCAAGGCCATCCGTCCGACGCCTCGCTGCCAAGCGGTAAGCCATGCGTGCCATGAGAAATGGTCTTTCCACCGGCTGAAAGTCTCCGTTGAAGTGTTGATCGCCACGCAAGCCTTCCGGGAGATCGGTCCCCGTCTCCGCGGTCGATGCCAATTGATATGAGCCCTGCGGCCACATGTGCATTGATAAAGACCTCCTTCCTCCCTAGGCAATCAGCCGGTCAGCGTGCCCTTCACTTCTTCAATCCGCGACGACTCTGCTGTCCGCCGCGTGGTCCTTGGCGGCACTGGGCAGCATTGGATGCAGGGCGAGCCAAGGGGCTTCTGGTTTCCTCCAGTCTCCTTCTCAGACTCCATCTGATTCCTCTCCTCTCCGGGAGTCCGCCGTCAAACGGGAATCCCGCCGCTCGATCGAGAACGCGGTCGACATTCCTCCGAGCACACAGCTACTAGAGCTTGCTTCCCGTCTGCAGGTGTAGATTGCTCCGAACGATGAAGAGGGGGGAGAGCAAGCCTGCAAGTCTTTTAATGCAACAGCCTGGCTAAAAAGACGTGCATGGTCGCATTCTCCGAGAGGGACACAGGCTTACGAATCGTCCACATATTTGTCGTGTGGCCTATCGAAGGAAACCGCCAAGGAATTAATCGAATTCCTCCAGAATTTCCCTGGAATTCGAGAATTGAGCCAATGTCCCATGCGGTCGGTATAAGATCTCCCCTGGGTTCAGGCACGAAAGGGAGAAAAAAAGGGGAAGATCAGGAACCGGAAAAGATTGTTTTCTACCAGTCCCAAGTCGCGTGCGGTGTCTCTCTTCTTTTAGGAACAAGCGCCAGCACCGAAAGCAGGTTTTCTCGATGAGCTGAAGGCTGTTTCCTCCTAGGCTGTTGGTTGCTTCTCATTGCGCCGTCATCGGTTTGATCGTGGCAAGGCGAAAAGAAGAAAAAGACGTTTACGAGAGGAACCGTGGAGAATCAAGGAGAATACGAGGGCAGAAGAGGAGGAAACTTGCACCCGATGCAGCACCTGCCTTGGCTGTCTCCGGTTCCCCAATAGCGATCCAGCTGGGCGCCTCGCAGCGGCATCTACGGCAAGCACAGCCCCCGGGGGTCCCCACGTCAGCGAACTGGGCCACCCCGCCGCACCCGGACGGGCCCTAAGCTACAAAAATGGCCCGAGGACGACCCCTCCCCCGCGCCGTCCCGCCGTCAGCCTCAACATTGACATCAACACACACCTCAACTTTGACCTCGACCTTGACCTCATCATCGAGCTCACCGAGACGACTGTCCTTTCTGATCTTCAACCTGCTCGCCCTCACAGCATTCGTCCAACCCGTCATGTCTCAAGGCTGGGTCAACGCCGTCTACTACCCCAATTGGCGGGTTTACAAGGGCCAAACTCCCGCCTCGATGCCCGTCAATGCCGTCACTCACGTCATGTACGCCTTTATCAAAGTCAACACGGACGGATCACTGAAGCTCATTGACGACTGGGCCGATACCCAGATCCCAGTCGACGGGACAAAGGGCTGTCTCTCGGCCACAGCCAAGCTCAAGGCCTCGAAGCCGAGCATCCGCACCCTTGTGTCCGTCGGCGGTGGCACGGGCAGCGCCGAGTTCCCGGCCCTGGCCGCCAATCCTACCGCGCGCGCTCGTTTTGCCAAGGAGATCAAGGCCTTTTGCGACAAGTGGCAGCTCAACGGCGTTGATAGTAAGTTTTCCTATCCTCGTATTCTCACTAGGTTCTGGCTCTGACACTTGTCCAAGTTGACTGGGAACACCCAAGCGACGCCAAGCAGGGCAAAGACTACATCAGCCTCCTCAGTGACGTCCGCCAACAGATGCCAGCGGGCAAGTACCTCATCACATCAGCCCTCCCGCCGGGCCAATGGGTGCTCAAGAATATCGACCTTAGACGAGCCGCCTCTCTCCTTGACTACCTGAACTTAATGTGCTACGACCTCACAGGACCCTGGACCGACGTCTCGGGCAACCACGCGCAGCTCCTGGCCTCCAAAACGCTGGTGAGCAACAACCCGAACCTCAAGATCGCCTGCGCCGACGGCATCACCTACGTCACGAGCAACGGGTTCCCGAGCCGTAAAGTGCTGCTCGGGATCCCGGCGTACGCGCGCACCTTTCCTAATGCGAAAGGGCCGGGCGGATCGACAAAGGGGTCTGCTGAGGTTGATTACTGCGACATGTCGAATGATAGTGTAGATAAGGCAACTGTGGATACGACTGCGGCCGCTGCCACTTATATTGATCCCAAGTATGGGTTCATGACCTTTGATGTACCGAGATCTGTGGCCATCAAGGCCCAGTATGCGAAGAGCAAGGCTCTTGGTGGGTTATTCTACTGGACTGGCGTAGGAGACCGGAAGGGGAGGCAAAGTCTGGTCCAGGCTGGGTTTAATGAACTGAACGGCATCAAATGAGCCTAGTTCATGTGGTAGTAAGTTTGAAAAACTCTCGGTGTACTTTTGCATGGAATCAAGTACATATCCTGGCTGTGAATGCGGCATGCAAAGACAGTTGGGTTGAAAAGGCATACCTACGAAACACAGGTAGCCGTAGATATGATAATGAACACAAAATATCAAAGGCGTTGGATGCTATCCAAAGTTCTTGACTATCTAACTTCTTCGCAGGGGATTGTCAGACGGGGCCTCAAGATAATTCGAAACCTTGAGGGATCGGCCTGTGGTCCTCTAGGTCGCACTGGAATCTGTCGTGAGACATGAGCGTAGTGCGACGGGTTATCAGAATGATTCACGTGGAGAAGGCAAAAGCGCTCGTGGGACAATAGAAAACAGGAATTGAGCATGAATTTAAGCTTGAAATAGTACTTACTGTGGCGGGTACGTCCCCCGATGGAATTCTCCGGCAAGCGCCGACGAGTGCCCCACCCGGTCGATACTAGAGGTGCCGTGAAGCCCCACCCGGCAGCCGGCAGCCCTCCCATCCAATCGCCGGCTCATTGTGCAGGGGCCAGCAAGCGCGGACCTCTTCTTATTTCTCCTGCGTCCCTGTCACTCTCCGTCTTTCTCCCCCTGGCACACACAAATTCACACCTCAACAGCTCCTTTTTCGTCTCATCTTCCCGCCACGATCCCCGCGCCATCCCTTCAGGATCTGCCGCCTTGCTACACGAGCCGTTTCACGCGCCGGGCCATCCCAACCAACCGGAGGCTCAATTTTCTTTAGCTGCATTTGAACCTTGTGCAGCTACTCTGCCATGTGGTGCATACCACAGAAACTCTCAAGTCTCAATCTCCACCGAGTTATCCGTTGAACGAGTGTTCGGACGGTACTCTGTCAGCTTGTCAACAGAAAGACGGGAATGATGCGCAGCAGGGAGGGGGCCTTAGCCGAGGAAGGTTTCCCATATCTCCCCGGGCCCAGGCCGCCAAACGAAACCTCGCTGCAAGAGAGGAATCTCGTGAAACCATGTTCAGACCCTAGCGCTCGCGCTTCTTGGGGGACAGCAAGAAGGGACAAGATTGCATGGGACCCGACGGAGGCTTTTGGCGTCAATGGGATGGCGCTTGGATGCTCAGTGACGGGTGATGGATGACGGATGACGGATGACAGGCGACAGATGGGCTGGTCTTCGTCAAGGGCCGAGTATAAGGGTCCATCTGCCGTCCTGTTCTCTGACATGAAGCATTCACCTTCGATACTGCTGCAACGACTTTGGTGATATCGTGGTTTCTTTACGTGTCTTTCCTCTTTCCGTCTTCCTTCGTTTCATTGACAACACACCCTGCTGTGCAGGCTTTCATTCTTTTCCCATACGCTCATTTACTACAGGTTTATCTCTTTTCACTTATCATCATGATTTCTCAAACCGCAACTTTTCTGGCTTACGCCACACTTCTCGTGTCCGCCAGCCCTCTCGCCCTCCAGCGCAGAGCTGTCACGGAGCTCAACGAGGAGGCCACAAAGGAGGCACACCCCCGCGACGACACCGCCACGCGCGCTTTTTCCGACGTCCAGATCAAGACAGCTGACGGCAAGTGTCTCTTCGTCGACAAGTTATCTGGAGATTTCCGGGCGAACCTCACCCCGATCCAGGTAGCTGATTGCGGAGCGACGGACGGCCAGGGTTGGGATGTCATCACTGCTGGAAAGCACAATAATCAGCTCAACTCAATGCTCATCGTCAGCACTCTGGTACGTTCACTCCCTGTAACCCCTTCATGTGGGTTCCCAAAGCGGAAGACGATACTGATTCATGATTATAGACGCAAGCGTGCTTCAACTTTGATCCCCGTCGCGCGGCGGGTAACCAGGTCAACCTCTTCTCCTGCGGTGGACGCGCAGCAGGCGAGGGCCTGGTGACGGACTCTCAGCTCTTCGCCGTAGACAGCGGAGCGGGGCCCTCGACCTTCCAGCCCAAGAATGAGAAGGGCAAGTGTTTTGCGGTCAAGGGCAAGGTGGTGGACATTGCAGACTGCAACGCCGACGACAAGGCCCAGTCTTTTGCCTTTGGCGGCAAGCCTGGGTTAGTCGGCGGAGGAGCCGGCGCAGGAGGTAACGGAACTGGCAATGGGGCGGATAACGGTGCTCAGCAGCCTGCGCCGACCACGACAGCAGCGGCCGTTGTGACGGGGAAGCCTTCCGCCGGATGCGATGACACCGATGAGACCGTCACCATGACGCTAACGACCACGATCAAGCCCGGCCAGGGTAATGCCCCCGTCGCGACCGCCAAACCCGAGGCAACGTCCGCTCCGGTGGTAGCACAGCCCGTCGCCTCCTCAGCCCCAGCCGCCGGAAACGGCCAGAAGGGAAACATCCCCGCCGCGAATCCCACCTCGCCCGTCCCCGTCTCCCGCGCCGGCGGCACTCTGAACCCGACCGCCGCAGCCGAAGCCAACGCCTTCGACGACACGGCCACCCGCGCTTTCACAAAGGTGGCCATCCAGGCGCCCAACGGGCAGTGTCTCTCCATTGACCCTACCGCCGGCGACTTCCGTCAGAACCTCATCCCCGTCACCGTGGCGGCGTGCGACAAGGCCTCGCCCAACCAACAGTTTGACGTGATTTCCAAGGGGAAGCACAACGACGGTAAGGATGGGGCGATGCTGATTGTCAGCAGCCTGACCAATGGGTGCGTCAGCACTGACGGGCGGCGGGCAGACGGCGACACGGTCACGCTTTTCTCGTGTGGAGGTCGTGCTGCGGGCGAGGGGCTTACGAATACCGGGCAGCTGGTCAAGGTCTTTGGGGACAGCTTTTTGTGGTCGCCTGTGAATGATGCGGCTACGTGTGTTGTCCCTGGGAGTCAGGGACGTTTGGTCACGGCTGCTTGTAAGGGGGACAATAGTGAGACGTACAAGATTGTTGCTTAGAGGACACGGTATGTTTGTCTGAGTAGCTTCATATTTGTGTGATCTTACTCATGTGGTATACTTCTTTTCTTCGTCGTTGACGACATTTATATTTGGGATTGGATTACCCGGGCATCTTTATATGGGGAATTGGTCAGGTTGGAAAATACATGGAATTAGACGATTATCAGCAATGTAAGAGACAGAATAGGACATGATTCTTCCCAAGGTCAAAGTCTGCCGACACCAGTCGGCATTCAAGTTCCGAGATATGGACCACGACCGCTAGCCAAAAGCTTGACATTACTTTCCAGTCTGATGGGTCAAGGCTAGAGTCCAGACTGGGTCATCTGGAGGTGATCATTGCAGCAGGGGAAGCTTGACGCGGATAACCGGCACCAGCCGAGAGCTTAATCGCTGTCACCCGCTGTATCGTCCAATAGCGGATGGTGGAAGTAATTAGTGGAGTTGTTACCTGTGTTCGTACAATTTACTGTACTGCCAAGCGACGTCATTAGGGGGTTCATCGTGACTACCGATCCCTAACCTGCCCTGCTTTGCTTTCTCCTGGAGAATGTGCCGAGGAAGTGGTCACTTCGCTTCGCTTCTCTTCTGCCGGCGTCACACAACATCAAACCATCCCACGTTTCTGCAGCCACCAACATCTCTCAGTTCATCCATTCATCTACGGACACCCATCCATCCATATTCGTCTAGTCTCACCCTCTAGTCAGCCATCGCAACTCGTCTCGCCCAATTGAGATGCTCGGACTACATCTCACGTACACTGCCAGAGAAAACGACCTTGCTAGATGCGGCTGAAGGACGCCATTCTGGGACGCTCAGTGCTGATTTAACGGTTCGACGCCACGACCAACGCGAAACTTGCCATTTTTCCTTTTCTTGTCTCCTCCGTCCGAGCCAAGCTTTACGCCGTTGCGGTTCCTGAACCCCTAGCGTACCAAGCGCCACGCGACAAAAAGCTTCGTTTCTCGAAATATTAATGTCTTGAACTACCTACCAACCGGCCGGCCGATCTCTCCCATCTTCTCTCCTCCCCTCATCACCACATCTACTCTGCCTCACCTACCCGGGGACGTGTGCGACCGACATGTCTCCCGATACCGACTCCTTCGGCGCACCAATGTCCAAGACAATCAGCGAACCCGACGACAACGCGCGCACCGTCCGATTCCCGTCCTTACAAATCGATACCCGCGACCATGCCGCTTCCCCGACCTCGCCCACGGCGCGCGTGCGAGTCGCCGCTCCTAACGATGTCGGCGCACCTCTGACCCGCGCCTCTACGGACCAGAACATATCCCCTATGCGGCGCCGCGCAGGCACCTTCAAGCCGGTAGAAGACTACGGAGACTTTGAGATGTCTCGCCCCGGCTGGCAACCCGGCTCCGAGCCCGGCTTCGATCCCAACAAGTCGGATGGCGGCCACGCTTCCATGCCCGCCCTCCGTGCCGAGTGCGACATCTCTGTCTTCGACTTCAGCCAGGGCAACATGGTCCAACACAAGTTTAGGAACGAAGAGTTTGTCGACTTCCTGCGGAAGCCCCAGGAGCCGTGGGTCCAGAGCCGCTGGATCAACATCAACGGCCTCAGCTGGGACGTCATACAGGCCTGCGGAAAGTACTATAAGCTGCACAAGCTCGCCATCGAGGATATCATGAACACGAGGAACCGCACAAAGGCCGACTGGTATGCCAACCACGCCTTCATCGTCATGACGCTGCAGAAGCTCGTCCTCCTTCTCGACGACGACAGCAGCAGTAGTAGCAGCAGCGATGATGATTCGGACGACGTAGCGAGCGTAAAGACTGCAAAGTCCGGGAAGGGTATGAAGAAGCTAAAGCGCGCCTTTACCATGGGCGGCAAGCCGAGACCAGACCCAGAGACGGGAAGGCAGAGGGCCGGCAGACCGACCATTGTCACGCACGGCGACGGCAGCGGCTACGGGGCCCAGCTGAACCGCAACATGAGCGAGCTCTCCCAGCTCAAGGAGACAGCCTTTGTCCGCACCCTCCAGCGCTACCACGCCTCGGCCAACGAGGTCCGCACAGAGTACATGGAGCGCCACTCCTCCCTCATGTCGCGCGGCCTCGCCGTCTCCGCCGAGCAGGTCGCCATCTTCCTGACCTCGGACAACACAGTCATCTCCTTCTTCGAGATGTCGGCCGAGGACATTGAGCGCCCCATCACCATCCGCCTTGGCGATCCCTCCACCATCCTCCGCCAATCCTGCGACGCTTCTCTCGTCGTCCAGGCTATCATTGACGCCATCATCGACCTCGCCATCCCCCTCACCGCCGTCTACAGCGACGTCATCGGCGACCTCGAGCTCGACGTTCTCACGAGCCCGAGCATCAAGCAGACCCGCAGCCTCTACATCTGCGTCAGCGAGATTAACAAGATGCTCACTTTTCTCAACCCCATCGACAACCTCGTCAACGTCCTGCGCGATCACCGCACTGAGCTGTCACAGGACGAGGCGGCGCGCCAGCTACGCAATCCAGCTAGCGGCGTCATCGTCACGCCGCTCACGCACACGTACCTCGGCGACGTGCTCGATCACTGTGTCATAATCACCGAGTCCATGCAGCAGATCAAGCGGTCCGCCGATAACCTGATTGATCTCATCTTCAACACCATCTCGGCGAACCAGAACGAGAGCATGAAGCAGTTGACCATCATTACCATTATATTCCTGCCCCTGACCTTCTTGACTGGGTACTTTGGACAAAACTTTGAAAAGTTTCCGGATATCCAGAACCCCATGGGCATTCAATTCTTGTACGTTGAGACCACCCCTTTCGCTCCGCAGCTATTATACTAACCAAGAAAACAGCTGGGTCATTGCCTGCCCTGTAGTCTTTTGCACAATCATCATCATGATGCGCTCCTGGATCTGGGCGTGGCTCGAGTCGTTTTGGCAAAAAAGGAAAATCAGCGCTGAGAGGAAGAAGCAGAATAAAAAGAGGGCGCGAAGGGCAAAGAGGAGGGCCAAAAGGGATTAGGAACCCCGCCCCGGCCACCGCTTTCCTTCGAGTTCGAGGCCTTGGTCGTGACTGTTGGTCTCCAGTCATGCTTGTGTATTGTGATACCCCCTACTTTCTAATTTAGACCCCATATAGATCTTTCCGCATACCACTGCCCAATACTAGAGCTTCAGTTGAGCGGGCTTTTGAGCGTCGCTACGATAATTCGAGATTTCTCCACACGTGAGAAGCGAAAGTGGGCGGGAATTTGGGAGAGTGGTTCGCTTTGGTTTCTTTCTTGGGCTCATATGAGACCAACAGGTAGGTAATGGGGTAAGAGGCATCTCTATTCAACCCTACAAATCTAACCAACTTCGAGTCGTGTATCCCACTTTCATCCGATCATACCAGCATCCCCCCTTCATGCAACAGGTCCACCAGCCTCAGGAAGACCGCACTACATCATCACACTGTATCAGCAAACCCATTCCTCACAACCAACAAAAAGAAGCACACCATGAAATCCAAGGGGCGATAAGAGGGTGAAAAAAAACTCACGTAATAAACAACCAAGCTCCCACCATCAAAGATCGTCTCCAGCGAAACCGTCTCACCCTCCTTGGGCGCAACAGCCACATCGCTCCTCGTGTTCCACGCGATCTGCGCCACGGAAGCAGGCTGCCCGACACCGGGCGTCACGGTCGCGTTCGCCCACACGCCCGGGTCGCCCGCCGTCGCGGCGGCGAAGACCTCGACGCCGACCTGTTGGGGCGGGTACGGGCTGCCGTAGCCGACGGCGCCGGCGACCTTGATGACGAGGGAGCCGGAGAAGGGGGAGGCGATGGAGAAGTCTGTGATGTTGGCCGAGGTGGAGGAGCTGCTTTGGGCGCCGTCGAGGACGACTTCTAGGGGGGTTGCGGCGTCGCAGCCTGTTGTAGGGGGGGGGGGGGGGGGGGGGGGGGGGGGGGGGGGGGGGGGGGTGGGGGGGGGGGGGGGGGGGGGGGGGGGGGGGGGGGGGGGGGGGGGGGGGGGGGGGGGGGGGGGTGGGGGGGGGGGGGGGGGGGGGGGGGGGGTGGGTCGGGGGTGGGGTGGGGGGGGATGGGTTGGGGTTGAGGTCGTCCCAAGTTTCGCCCGCGATCTATCCTTTCGTCTACGGCCGAGCGGGCCGGGAGGTTGGAGTTCGGATGGAAGTATGGGGGGGGGGGGGGGGGGGGATGTGTTGTTACGTACGGGAGTAGTCTGCGCGAACGCCCCATGAGCCCTGCGCCACGGCAGCGTGGGCACCGCCGGCGGCGAGCAGAGAGGTCAGAAGAATAGAGGCGTACATGTTTGTGAGAATCGTGAATATGTATGTCCGTTGGTAAGTCAGGTTTTCCTCAAATCCCACTTAGACGCAAACGACGGGAATCAATCTCTTTTTGTATTCGCCCACTCGGAAGTTCATCCCGCCATTTCGGTACCTTCGGGGGGTGACGATCATGGGTTTATAAAAAGGCCGAAAGCCCTACGATGCTCTGCCAAGCAAACTAAATCTAAAGAGGTTTTATTAAGTATGAACTCTATATGCAGATGCCGGTGGACGTTGAGTGGGACCCGAGGAATTGGTCATTCGTCGTTTTGGCGTTGTCCATCCCCCCTCGTATGCAATTTATATTAAGTTGGTCTGCTCACGGCAAACGAGTCAGTGGGTATAAGTGTTGGTCACACCCGACAAAGGGAGGAGAAAAGGAGGAAAGTATCGCTCCCTTTTTCTACTATCAATTCAAAAGGAGAAATAAGTTCGCGACGTGATTACTGAAGTTGAGTTGTCAATACTTTTTAGTGTGTGCTTGGTCAAATCTGGTTGTGTCTGTTGGCGGCGGCTTTTGGAGAAGTGCTGTTCGACTTCCCACTCTTGGGTTCTATGAAAGCTATATCTCCATAAGCCTAATTTTGAACTTTGTCTCTTGAGAGCGAATGGTTCATCTGATTAGAGGCGCTGTAAACTGGATTGAGATTCGGTTTGTTTGGCTAGGCAATTGTCTGGGTTAAACCTGGACCCTTGGGTTCTCATGGACTAAATTTCTGTGCAACATATCTACATGTGGACAAAGTGGTTATTCTCTTGTCTTTCTAGCACTCTAGGGGTTCGTGTACGAAAGACAAGGCGAGGAATTCTCAACCATTTGACCTCATATGCCTGCCCCTCGGACCTTCATAGCCGACCCGGCTATTCTGAAGTATTATAGATGTGTTGAGATCACTAAATGTCCCAAACCAAGCTTCGATCTGAGCCTTCAAATCGGGGTTAACCGGCGGCGAGGTGGTCTTGTTGAAGTTACCGCCCCATAACGACGATTGGCATCTACTTTTCCTATCAAGGAATCTGTCGAATCTAATCGCATTGGCAAAACGGAGCTTTTCTGTACTCAATCTTCGTTATAAGAAGTGTAAACTTGAACTCGCAGAGGCGGACGATGTAATGCAAGTAAAGCAGGTACACCAGCTTCCATGCCGACCATACTCGAGGAGTCGAGTGGGATTGTAGAATCTGGCAGCCTTCTAGTTGCTAATTTCATCGCTTCCGATTATCATCCTCCTTCCCACCATCTGCGACCGAATTCCGGCCAGTATCCTGCCGCTGGTGATGATCACACTGCTGACTCCCACCATTCACCTCCCAACTCAAAGCGCTAAACTTCCATTTGCCCCAACCAAGCTGCAGGTCAAAGCTACTATGGAAGCCTCGAATCTGTCGCTCTGGTGGTTCATCTTTAGGATTCTTGACAATTTCCCAATCCTCCTCGCTCCCCTCCCTTTCGTCGCATCGACTTTGCGTTGGAGGATGGGGGCTGGATCTCTCCTTGACGGACGGCTTTTCCTCTGATTTCAACAGTCAGTCGAAATGAATCTCTGAATACGATGGAGTAAGAGTGACTTGAGGAAAACATGCCTTGGGTGCTGCGATAAGTGCCTCCCTGCTGTGCCATTTTGATGGTTCTGGCCTTTGCCTTTTGGAGAGAAGTGAAGATAGAGGATGACGAACCCTAGCATGGGCAGACTTCAGCCCCTCTTCTATGGTCTTGGAACTTTGGTGGCGAAGCACCTCAGCTCAGCCTAGACTTTGCTAGCTGAGCGATCGACAACCAAAGGGTCTATGATTGGTTGATGATCATTCGTCAATGAGCATGTCCAGCGCCTCGTCAACTCGTATAGATTTATCCTGATCGGCATCATGTGGGTGAAGACACACCTATTGCTGGTGTTTTATTGACTAACTCTAGCTGTGTATGGAAATGTAAGTATGGTGGTATCTCTACTGGGTTTTCCCGTTACAGAAGAAGATTGAGGCAAAACCCATCCTTATCTGACGAAGGCTCCAGACAGTCGCTCTGGGTATCCCGAGCAGAAGTTGCAGTCTGCAAAACAACTCGTCTGCCTCCCGCTGAGTCTCGACAACACGTCCCCATTGCGTGTTCAAACTGTACTCTCTCTCTCTCTCTCTCGAGGGTGTACTCAGCCCGCCTAGGTTGCCCTTCATTGCATCCCTGTGTCATGAAGTCGCATGACAATGTGACAAGAGCAGCTTGTCACATAACAACCTCATACATCTCCGGAGCTATCGTAGATAGGCGATATACCGGGAGTTTCGCCGAGGTGGGAAATACACCTCTTATTGAATAATCATCCTCAAACCCTTCATGGGTTCATTCATCCCAGCCCTTTTGGCTCATGACTCCATCACTACTTCTTGAGCCTCCTGATACAGGATCCTTCTGTAACACGACATTATTTTTAGGCGTCTTCGGCGGGTCCCTCTCCATCGGGCTCGCATCGCTGAGGTTATTGAGGTCGATATCGTTGAAGTCTCCGACTAGATGCGCTATCGAGGACTCCTCGTAGGACACGAGTCGCGGTCGTTCATTGGGGTCCGCTGCCGATCGTGAGGCTTGGCTGGCAGAGTGTGACCCCTTTGCTGATCTAGACATTCTAGCTGATCTCGAAGACAGGTGTGTTACTTCGAGGATCTTAGGGAATAGTTTCCTCCAGACTTGACGTGTGCTCGGAAGGCAAGACACGAAGATACCAACACATAGCTCGATGTTGGACCAGAGGGAGCTCTGGAATGAGTCGGCTGCGGTTGCTGTCAGTACTGTGCATAGCTGACGGTGAGTCCCTTGTTTCGGACTTGCCTGTGACGTTGTATGATGTCGCAAAGATGAGAAGGGCCTTGATTCGATAGGCACTAACGGCAGTGAGACTTTAAACTATCAGTCAGCAACATTCTCGCATGTCAGCTTCGTTGTACTCACAAAACTCCTACGCTGAACATCAACATCACACCCAGCTTCTGTTTGCGCTGCATTCTCAGCGAATAGACTTGAGTTGCTGGAAGTACTAGCATCCATGCATCCAGAGCCACGTTCAATGCGCCATGGCACATGGCAAAGGCGTTCAAGTTGAAGCATTTGCCCTCCATATCTCTTTTCCATCCATGCCAGAAGAAGTGCAAGGGCTGACAAGAGCCGAAAGTGCCGGCGATGAAAGCGATCCAAAGAAGAAGGTTGAACAGCTGAGTACACCAGAGTATTCGGCGGAAGGTTTCGTCGGGGAAGATTCGCAGGTATAGAAATATGATCGAGGCCTTGATAAAGGCTAGGCAGGTCATATAGAGCATACCGAATATGATAAATAGCTGGCACAGTCAGTTTTGCTCCATGAGGTAATCAAGCAGAGATGCATCGATGATGCGGCCTTACCAAAAGAAAATCAGTAATTTGGTTTTCTGATAGTGCCCATATATCTCTCCCTGCACCAGTTTGTTCGGCTATACGAAGACATTAGAGGATACATTTCATTAGTCGGAATCTGAGCTTTACCTAGATATGCCGCTGGCAGGAAAGCTGCTAGTACGGCCTTTGCGATTGTCAGGAAAACTTGTCGAGGGCATGAGAGAGGGTGGATTTCTGCATAACATACATAGGCTATGACGATGGTTGTGTCGTCCCAACCCCAAGGCGACAGCTTTAGAAACTTGTTCACCATTCGTACGATTATGAAAAAGGTTGGTAGGGCGAAAAGAACCGCCCTGAACCACGCCATGACGGTATCCTGCTGAGCAGGGGCAACACCACAGGCAGCCAATGAAGAATTGCGTGCCGCTGTAGATATTCGATGAGCCTTAACATCTTCACTAAGGGAACCTGACTCCGTGACCTACCGAGCATCTCCATGACAGTGCAATTTGCCTCGACGCATACCTGCACGTATCCCGCCAAAACGTTATCGTTACACATGCATTTTTGATCCGTTAGGGGGCAGGACGAATGGCCGATCTCCTGGAAAATACATTTGATCTGCATCTGTCAGCACATTCCATGGCTAGGGGATGTCAGTGGGAAATAAGCTTACAGCACAGCTGGGGATGCCCTGGTACGAGATATCTGACGCGGCGACGAAACTTCCAAGGCCCAGGAAGCAAGCGAGCAGGAAGAAGAGACGGGTAGCAGACATCGTGAAAGGAGCGACTTAGGATGGACGATGATGATGTCCTGCAAGCCTCTCAAACCCAAGCAGGGTCGTCCGCGAATTGACGTCGGAATCTGAAGCCGGAGAGGTTGATCAGGTACTCAAAACTTTGACGAAGGGTCCAAGAAAGTGGTCTTGGCCATGTTGTTGACCAACGTGGGGATATGAGGAGAGAGAAAGGTGGCATGGACGAACCGTAGTGAAGACGTCTTACCACGGGAAGTTCGCCCTACGGCTGTCATTCCGCCTTTCTAGCAAAGACGCTAAACTAGTTCTTAGCTAGGCAGTTCCCAAGGGATCCCACGTCGAGGAAGTGGCTAACCTCCTCTTGGGACATCAGAGCGTTGCACCAGCTCGCTGCAGTCGGGAGGCACGGCAGGCAATGAAGGTCTTGCCGGCAGTGGTACGCGGGACGCTGGACCTCGCGTTTTCGGGAGGTGTGTCGACAGTGTCTCGACTAGTTCACTCGGTAAATGCGCGTCAGTTCAAATTGGTTTGTCCCTTTTACTAGCAGATGCCAGAGAGGGCGCCACGGCTGAGACCATCGTGAGCCTGGCAAGGATATCACAGCTCGAGATTGGTTGGTCGTGCTCAATGGATGCCGCTAGGGGAAGCCAAGGCTGCTTCCTAGGGCATAGAGCTCGGACGCTCTGTATGGGAGATCGGCGTGGCTAGCATGCAGCCAAAGGTGAGCTAGGCCTTGGCTGTGTGCAGGTCCTCAGGGGCACCTTGACGTTTGCGTCAAGCTGGGAATGTCTGCTCACTTGAGGAATGCCGTTCGCGGTCTCGATCTAACTTGGCATGTGAATCAAGATGCATTAGGGACTTGATGTTGGTGGGATCAATGTTGTCAGACTGGCAGTACTTCGGCGGTTCATTGGATGGCTCGGACGACAATCGCAGTATTGGGCATGACTTTGGATCTCAAAATCCCACGATGTCACACGAGCTGATCCCGCGATGTGATATCTTGTGGTCCGTGTACGACCATCCTCCGGTGTGAATTTTGCAGCATACCAATAGAGAACTAAATGTCTTACTGCATGAGCTAAAATTCCCAGGTTTCCGGGACAGTATGATCGTTCCGTTCCACATTCCTGTACAACCTGACCAAGACCTCAGGAAGCGTTGAAAATGCAACTTATTCTTCATGTTGCTGTTACCCAGTCTTGCCGGTGCCTTTTGGCAACGAAAAGACATGCAAATAAATCGATCCAAAGTTAGTGAACACATGGCGTGGCTTATCTAGGCAATTAGACCAACCATTGAGTTTCCGTTTCTGGTTCAGCATCCGAGAAAACACTTAAGCGAGGAAGCCACGCAGCTCCAGATTCCCGGGTTTTCCTGAGCAAGCCAAAATCATCATCCCTCCTTAGCCGGCGAACTAGAATCCCCACAAGGCCACAGGATCATCAAAGGACTTTTCGCGGGCTAACACTTCGCTTTCACGCATCATTGATACTATAGCGTCCAGGCTCGCTTCCTTTGTTCCACCGACGTAACAAGCGTCAACGTCGCTTAGAAATCGAGCCCTAAAGAGGCGAATAATTCAAGCGGAAAGTCCCCTCCGAAGTGCAACTCCAACTATTACCAAACCCTTGACCGTTTTCTTCTGTAGTTGAGTGGATTTTCTGTATGGATTTACCACGCGAACTTTTTACATCCATTCGGGGCAAGGTCCGAGAAGCCAGCAGTGAGGTGACTACTAACTCGGAGAGGCAAGCTCGAGGTGTCGAGATCCTTTCATACATCTGTGGAGCCGCCCATTTATTTTTGATTGTTATGAGAAATGGAAATGGCCTGGACAATGAAAGTAACCCAGCCTAGTGGTATTAGTTGACTTGTCTCCTCCCGTCCACGGTCCGGCCATTGAACGGGCCTGTGTCTGACCCGAAAGTGGGTCCATCGGGCCCGATGTCTCGGGTGACTGCGAGTCGGATGAAGCGAGCCGCCGGATGTGATATCTACAACGGCTGCCATATATCAGCCTGAATGAACTGAACGGGACTTTATTCGAGCTGAATTTAGTCTAAACCTCTCAAATACACAAACTTAGATCTGACATCGAGTCACGATCTTCGGAACCATGGGAGTAGACTAAGACGATGCAAGTTGTGAGTAACCTAAATTGCACGGCAGCCTCGGTGAAGTCTGAGGCATGGAATCAATGATTGATTAAGCGGTTCCTTTTCTTTTTCTTTTTGTGATTCATCGCATGTTCATCTTCAGTCCATCCGCTTGGGCCTTGTCAGAGCTGCTCTGCCGGCACCCAGCAGCTGAAGTCATTCTGACCGAACGAGGCAGACCGCTACACCAAGCCAATACTGTTCTGTTTAACTCTCAAGATCATCCATGATGACATCGAATGCTTCGAACTCGGGCTCGGCATGTTTCTCGGCCAATGTGGGAGCCGAAACGGTACACTTGTTTTCTGCTGTGGCCGTAAAACCCTCACAGAGATGGGTTTTTCTCCTCGGTGGCCGCGCACTGCGAGGTGGTCACGACAACCGCCCGGCTCCCTCAGATTGCAGCAAACTTACCACCTGTTTGACCTGATGACATTGAGATCGGCGGGGTTACTGGGAGAATCGTCCGGACTGGCACAAGACGCGCCCCAATGAATATTGGATGCTGTCGACCTGACAACAGAAGACTCAACAATCCTGCCTATAGACTACTATATAAGGTTCTGAGAGGAAGCTGCAGACAGAAGAGATTCGTCTCTATTGGTCTTGCATGAACAAATTTAACGAACGATGTCAGAAGCACTGTTTACCGATTACGCAGGCCGGACCTTCAGTCGCTCCATCTTATTTCTGACCATCTACGCCTACGCTTCTCTGGGCCTACTGATGCTCGTCGCACAGAGGCTTGCCCGGCCAGGGAGGTTCACAAAGATCCCCTCTCGTCAGCCAGTAAGGTCGACCAGGTCTGGCAGAGGACTAGGCGAAAATGCCCTTCTTCCATCCAAAGCTTCACCTTCGCAACAAAGAGTTCCGTGTAAGTCGTTAACGCTGTCGCTGTCGCTATGAGGCTATCGACCTGTCGACTAGGCTGACTTCCGTGATGTCACACACAGTCGGTAAACAGCTCTAGAGTTACTTCAGACATAGCTGTTCTACTCAATTCTGGAGACACCGGACTGGAAAGTCACCAGCACCCCGATCCATACAACGCTACGAGGCAAGCGTCACCGGGAAGAACATTCGATGCATCATCATTCATCTTTGCTCTGGCATCTTCATGAGAGAAGATTCTTGTTTGAAGCCTGAAGGACTCTCCATTATCGCAGCGAATGCATCACTGCCGACAGCTCTGACAACACGACGTCGATAGACAGGATGTTGACCACACCGTGCCGACCCCACACATGCAGCATCAATGCAGAAAATCGAAATGAATCGACCTCCGAAAGCAGCCGATTGGCCTCAAGTGATCTCTAAGAGCCAGAGATATCATGCTGCAGCGCATCATGGCTGACAGACATGATCCTGAAGACCCTTCTTGGCAGGCATCTGGACTCAGAGGCAAGTCGGCCGATCAGAATCAAGACACTAACGTTGAACACAACCGAAGCCACTTCCCCGTAGATTTCTCCGCTGCTGGAGAGGTTGAGATTTCACTATACCACTCTCTGCTCGAAGTTGAGTATAAGGCGAGGAAGCAGGCTGAATGAAGGACGCGGGCTACGGGTCACAGGCGTTTACTTTGTTCTGGTGTCTCATACAACGGGAAAACCCCTCATGGGAGGAAGCAGAAAAACGATGATGTCTACAAGAATAGTCCAGATTGGGTGCGATGTCGTCGTGAATCTTTACTTTGCTTGAGTCTATGCTTGAGTCTCGGTCGGATCGTTGTGACCAAGACACAAAAGTCGGAATTCTCCAACACCAAGTCAGCTCAGCGCCGTTAAACTTTGAGGTGGTTGAGGCTTGCAAAAGTTTGAAACGAACAACCGCAACAACAATGGTAAACAAGCAAGGATACCGATAAAGCAAGGCACTGAACACTTTCAAACATGTCAACATGCAAAAATGACAAAAGAGAATGATCCCAGGTGGATTTTAACCACTGCTTCTCCCCGAGGTGGGCTCGAACCACCAACCTCCAGATTAACAGTCTGACGCGCTAGCCAATTGTGCCATCGGGGATTAGCTCGAATTGAGCTTTTGGGCTGTTGTTGCAGAACGCGACGAGTTGAGCAACTAAGTTGGTCTTCTCTAAGGCGAGCCAGTTGTGCGTTGTTTCAAGCCCTAGAGGGCGGGTCTGAAATGCGCGGATCTTTGAGGAATCGGTGTCATGGTAGTCATGGTGCGAATGGGCCGGGAATGGTGATTGGTGGTGACTCAATTTGTTGACCCACGTGGTGGGTGAGATTCACGCAGATGCATGGTGGCTCGAACGGGCTCGGTTTGGGGAACGAATCCGACTTTGTGTTCTAAGAGCATGGTCGGATTGTCAAAGAGATGTATTCGGAAAGAGTATGAGTAAATACGGCCACAATATTTGGTATTTTTCCAACTCTCGTGAATCAAATTGCTGAGGGGCATAGAATGAACGAACGAGGTGTGGTTCCCCAAACTTTCATCTTGTCTTATTGTAAGTTGTAGTGTGGACAGCTAATGCTGGCTCGTCATTTGGGGAAGTTTATTGATTTACTTTACAGGGTGTCATGTCTCACGGTGAGCTTCATGAGAATCATGAAAAACACATTTAGCTATATGCAATAGATAAACTCTTAGAGCACAGAAATGTCCTTGGGAAGTGAGTTTATTACTTCTTAGACCTCAATGGTCTTGCGACAATCTGTCTTGTCAATTAAAAGCAAAAACGCTTGTGAGCTTCAGGCGCACTTGAGGCATGCAGGCCACACCAAAACGCCCGTCTCAACATCACCACCATACCAAGAGGCAGTCCCCATGGTATAGAATCCAAAACCACACACTCAATCCCCATATCTTACGAGTAGTCACTTCACTGTAAAG